CACCACATAAGCAAAAAGAAAAAAGCCGGAAGTGGCGCTGTGGCTCAAGTGGTAGAGCGCTAGCCTTGAGCTGAAGAGCTGAGGGACAGCGCAGTTCAGGCCCCACAACTGGACCCCCCAAAGAAATGTAGCAGAGGCTACAGGACAGCGGGAGAAGGGGGTTTCAGCACCCTGGGGAGAGGTGGTAGGGACAGAGCTACAGCCCTGAAGGAAAAGGGTGTATGTCTTCTGCCTTTGAATCTGGTTGCTTAGACCAATAGATGGGGCAGAAATGAATTTCTTGCCTCTGGAGCAGTCATTCTTGTAATCGGCCTGCCAGATTACAGCTCCCCGATCGGTGTGCAGCAACTCTGCCTGCGCCAGTCTCTGCTGAGGCAGAGCTCTGGGATGGAGGGTTAAGCTGAGTTTCAGGGGGGGGTCCTGTGGCAAATGGCAGCAGAGCCCCCTCCCCCAAAAAAGCTCGGCTTTCCGTTCGTGGAGTAGGAAGCATGCCAGCAGCCCGCCAGTCCCCAGCTTGCTTGGTCACCTTAGGTGTCTGACGTTCCCCTCCCATGAAATGCAGTGGCGCAGGGTAGGAGGAACTCATCTCCCAGGGCCCTTCCAGCGCCAACACCTTCTGTGCTGTGAAATCCCTGCGAAGGTTGCCATGGAGCTGCAGAGGAACTGCAGCAGCGCTGAATTCAACTTCCCTGAGAGGAAGGAAGGGGGGAGGAGGAAGTGAGTCACCTCAGAGACCAGAAGCCATGGACATCACACAGGTGTGCTGGCTGGCCCTAGTGTCCAGGTAGGCAGGGGCCACTCTGGTATCCAGGTATGTGGGGGGTGGGGGGCTCTTAAGTGTTCTGACTCTGGCAGGATACCCCCAGAAGCCCACTCAGGTTGGTGACCTTGATAACTAGTGGTATCCAGTTGCCATCCATCCCTGCCCAGAAAGGGAGGGGAGCTTCCATGTGGAGCAGAAATCCCTCCCTAGAAGGCTGAAGGGGTGGCCACAGCAGCTGGGTACCGGCCTGTGTGGGCAGCCATGCACACACCTATCCTAAAGGAGGGTCAGCCTGCAGGTTGTGGCCGCCGGTCTGTCCACTCACACCATCAGAGGCCAGCTCTCTCCAGGGCCAGCAGCCGGCACCTAGCCAAAGCCCCTGTGGCCAGCACAGAGGGCTGAGTAGGGCAAATGGCTCCAGGCTCCCCAGGAGCCTTTATCAGAAATGCCAGGGCCGGTCCATGAAGTGATGATTCACACCCCAGAAACAACCACACAGCTCCTGAAGTCATCAATCACTGACTACCCAGACTGAGCCAAGTGCTACCTTTGCATTGTTTCTTCTTCTTAGGGATCAAACTGAGGGTGTTGAGCATATCAGGCAAATGTTCCAATGTTCTACTGAGCTATACCTCTAGCCCAAGAATCTAGGATTTTGGTGGCATGTCAAAAACTCAAGGTAAAGACAAGAGCCCAGATGTGTGTGTGTGTGTGTTTGAGGCAGCATCTTACTACGTATCTCAAGTTGGCCTCAATCTGTATTGTTCCTGTCTCTATCTTCAAAAGTAGCTGTGGCCTTGGGCTGGGAAGATGCTTAGTGGTAGAGTGTTTGCCTAGCATGCATGAAGCCCTGGGTTCAATTCCTCAGTACCAAATAAACTGGGCCAAGTGTTGGTAGCTTACACCTGGAATCCTAGCTACTCAAGCGGCTGAGATCTGAGGATGGTGGTTTGAAGCCAGCCTGGGCAGGAAAGTGTGAAACTCTTATCTCCAATTAACTACCAGAAAACCAGAAGTAGAGCTGTGGCTTAAAGTGGTAGAGTGTTAGTCTTGAGTATAAAAAGCTCAGGAATAGTGCCCAGGACCTGAGATCAAGCCCCATAACAGACAAAAAATAAAATAAAATATGCCAGGCACCGGTGGCTCATGCCTGTAATCCTAGCTTGAGTAGCTGAGATCTGAGGATAGAGGTTCAAAGCCAGCCCGGGCAGGAAAGACTGTGAGACTCTGATCTCCAATAAACCACTAGAAAACCAGAAGTGGCGCTGTGGCTCAAGTGGTAGTGTGCTCACCTTGAGCTGAAGAGCTGAGGGACAGCGCCCAGGCCCAGAGTTCAGGCCCCACGACTGGGGGGGCGTGGGAGGGAAGAAGAGTTCAAACCTCAGTGCTGAGAAAAAAAAGAAGTGTACAATTGGATGCGTTTTGACATTGTTACCCTTTGTACACCAGTTAGGGGAAGGGGTGTATCTACGACTCCAGTTCGTCTTCAGCGGGCTGCGGATCAAGATGCCCAGCCCCGGGCCCAGACCATCTGCAGACACTCCCAAGTTCCTTCGTTCAGGCGAGTTTGCTAACTTCAGGGCGGCTGGGGGGGTCTCAGGGGTGGGGGGCGGCCTTGGGGGCCAGGCTGCGGGAGCCCGCGGGGCCTCCAGGGGGCGGTGTCGCGCACGCCCAGCGCCTGCCCGCCCGCGCCCTGCACAGGCCCGCCCCGCTCGCGGGATCCGTCCCTGCGGCCGGCTCTTCACACGGACGGCTGTTGTGTGCCAGTCCTGGGGCTGGAACTCAGAGCCCGGGCGCCGCCCCTGGGCCTCTCGGTGCTCAAGGCAGGCGCTCCCGCTGGAGCCACAGCGCCGCTTCCGGCTTTTTCCGTGAATGTGGCGCTGCGGACTCGAACCCAGGGCCTCATGCCTGCCAGGCCAGCGCCCCACCACGGAGGCCCCTTCCCGGCCCCTTGGGCTGTTTTCCTTGCACCCCTCTGTGTGTGGCCAGTTCTGAGCTTGAGGAAGGCCGGGGCTGCGGGGCCGGCGTCTGTAACGTCGGGAGGGTGGGGTGGCGGAGGCGGACGGCCCAGACACGGGCGGGGACGCCCGAGTCCTCCCCGGGGCTGAGGACCAGACCCCGGAAGGCGGGGCGCGGCCGCCGACTTCCGCCAGCCTCGCGCCGCCCTTGCGCAGCGCCAGAGCGTTGCCCCGCCTTCCTTCATCCCCTCGGGGGGTGGGGCCTGCAGCGAGGAGGGCGGAGCCTCCGGACGCCCCGCCCCTGCCAACGCTGCGCGGGGAGCGGTCCCGCCTCCTCCCGAGGCGCACGCACCCAGGCTGCGGCAAGAGGGCGGGGCCTGCTCCTCCCTCCGGCCCCGCCCCAGGCACTGCAGAGCTGGGGGCGGAGTCTGCGAGGTCGGCAGACGCTGCGGCAGAGGAGGTTGCGCCTCCTTCTGGCCACGCCCACCGCCGGCGCGGCGTCGCGGGGCGGGGCGCCCCGGTGG